ATTCCCCACAAGTCCTTGAAAATTTTACTGCAGCACATACTCACTGTAATAATTAAAATGATTTCATTTTTTTTGCTGAAGAGAAACAAAATGATAAAATCCTCTGCTACTTACTGAAAAGTGATTACATTCATTATATGAGAAAATTAAAGCAAGCTGTGAAATATAAGCAAGCATAGAAAAAATACTATGCATTTTATTTTTTCTGTAGAAAATGTAAGTTGAAACTAAAATTCAACTTTCGGCTTAACATTTTTAACAGCTTTTTTTTTTATATATATATAATCTTGAGTCATGATAAATCTTGATGCAGCATTTTGTCATTCATGAAGTGCTAGAAATCTAGTAAACAACAAAAAATGCTTTAACGTGAACCAGAGGCATCTGCTTTTAAGCTTTGTTCCCTGCTGACGCAAATAAGGGCTTACACTTCAAAAGCAACAATACAGTATGTAGCTTCAATGGTTCATATTTATAACTAGTGATGTAAGGTCTGTTAAAAAGATTTGTGAAATTTGTGGGCAAATTTCCTTTCCTAAACTTTTTTTTCTGTATTTTTCAGTATTTTCAGTATTTATCAGTATTTTCAGTGGCTTGCTTCTCCCTCAGCAGAATGTATGTTTGGGGCCGAACCACACAGACTGCTGATTGCATGACCAGCTCTTACTCTACGATGCTATTAATTTCAGTGGTGCAAAGGTTACTCATCTGAGTCTGAGTTGTTGGATGGGACCCGTAGCCTCTGGTTGTGCGAAGCATCCCCATGGTCCCAGGGAGCGCTGCACAGGGAAAGCCATCCCCATCCGTGGCAAAGCGGCGCTTCCTTCGGTGTAACCCGTGTCACCTGCTTGCTTCTCAGTACAGAAAAGTGAAGCTTTGAGAGAGATTAACTTGGCGGACTACATAAAACATACCCAAATAATTTATCCCAAATGGAAAATATTTGTGAGGTTTGTTGTTGTTGTTTTGGATGAAAAAAATAGTATTGTCTTCTAAAATTATTTTTAGAAGCAGCTTTTGAATATTTTGAGATGGATGATGAGACAGATGTACTTGGATTTGTTGTTTGAAAAGTACTTTCTGTATGTTTAGGTTTCAGGCAAAGGAGTAATAGAGGGTGGTATTAAGAAATCAGCGGCCTGGGTCCCTTGCTAGACTGGGTGCAAGCCTTGTCCCACTGAAACTGCTTGCAACGCACCCTTAGATCCAGTGCGAGCTGAGCACTGGTCATCTGAGAAATACCTATACTGTCTTATACCATTTGTGCTATTCACTTGACTAGTTATGTTTCAAATTTAAAACACAGCTTTGATGATCTTTGCATTAATGTATTTGACTATTTGCTGTCTGGGAAGACTGAAAAGGTCCATGCTGCTGTCTCCTGGCAGTTTATTTTGTGCATCAGGAAGCTTATGTCCTCATGTACCGCTTATGGCACATAGAAACTGTGAGGTGCAGCCAGTAATATCTGTTTTGAAAGCACCCTGTAATCTTTTTATCACATTTGGGCTTGGTGCTTACGTGCCCCAAATAATTAGCTTCCACGTGTCTAAGCTGCTCATTGCAGCCCCTCAGACACTGTGCTGGCACCACCTCACTTCAGCATTTTGCACCAGGTTTAGCTAGAGAAAGCTCTCCTTAAACCAGAGGATTCCCACCTAGAGATTAAAAACTAGAAGAGGAACTGTCTGGTTCAGGGCTCCTTGTAGGAGCAGTCCTCCTTTGTTGCCACACTAAATAATAGCAGTGATAATGACTGGCAGCAGCTCCTACTCATCCCACCAAACTTTGGCTATAGAGAAGTGTGCTGGTGAGAGCCCCCGCGCAGGACGGCCTCCTGCAGCACCCGCGCTCGTGAGCGGGAAACTTAGGCTCTGAATAGTACGGACCGGAGGATCAGGCTCCCAGGTAGTAAAAATGTAAATCTGTAATGTAAATAAAGCTTTGTTTGAGTTGCCTTGTTTCTGCAAGGCTCTGGAGAGAGGCAGGAGCTGGGTGCCGCGGTGCTGCGCGCTCCGCGTGCTTTCACGTCACGAGAGCCAAAGCGGCGCTCGCTGAAAATGCTGTTAGGGAGGCTGCTGAAGTAGCTCATTTCCTAAGTAAGCTTTGGATTCTGCAATGTGCGTTTAAGGAGGCTGCTGTGGTCAGTAATACTTCTGCTCGTTTTCTGCAGTGAATCAGGTTATCTTTTGTGATACTTTTGTAGCACAGAATCATTTACTGCAAGGATTAGCCTGGTATTGTCTAGAAAGAGCTGTATGTTATAGATCTTAGCCCAAACAGTGTAGCAGTTTCAGTACTTTGTGTAGAAATCCTAAATAATATTAAGTTGGCTTGCTTTAAATGTTAGCTTCACCACCACTATCAGATAGGAAAAAGAAAAGGCAGAATACAGTGATATTCAAAGAGTTTTTCTTTTTAAATATTAGGTGTGGTAGTTTTTTGTAGATAATTTAACTCAGGAAAGAAAGCATCCTGAATAATTTCTCATTAGAAAAGGCATGTCTATTTTATAGGCAGGCTACTTAAACACTGCATGAAAAATACGTAAATTATATATATGCTGCCAACTTAGCAGTTTTTTGAAGTGCATTATCAGTATATTGGGAAATAATAAGTTTGAGATGCCCTAGAAGGCTAAGAAATTGTATTCAGGGCACAGATTTATCACCTTTATCAGACAAAACTCCCTGCTGACATCTGTAGGGAATTTTACCTCAGCAGAGGCTGAAAAAACTGACATGTAATTTTGTCAAAAGCAGTTGTATAGTTAATGTTCTGTTAAAATCTTTTTTAAAAGTAACCAGGGCACCTCTCAAAAATTACATTTTCTTTTTGTTTTCTATAGCTTTCCTTTTTCCTAACTACTTATGTTCTAATTACTGCATTTCTTGGGGTATGTGTGTGTGTTGTTTTTTTTTGTTTCTTGCATTCTTTAGTGTTGCTGGATATAGTCATAGCTAAGTGAATGTTTAGTATAAACATAG